GTCTATCAACTGATGAATGGATAAAGAAGTTGTGGTTTATATACGTAATGGAATACTACTTGGCAAGGAGAAAGAATGAAATCTGACCATTTGTAGCAATGTGGATAGAACTGGAGAGTGTTATGCTAAGTGAAATAAGTCATACGGAGAAAGATACCATATGTTTTCACTCTTATGTGGATCCTGAGAAACGTAACAGAAGTCCATGGGGGAGGAAAAGGAAAGAAAAAAAAAAAGGATAGAGAGGGAGGGAGCCAAAACACAAGAGACTCTTAAAAACTGAGAACAAACTGAGGGTTGATGGGGGGTGGGATGGAGGGGAGGGTGAGTGATGGGTATTGAGGAGAGCACCTGTTGGATGAGCACTGGGTGTTGTATGGAAACCTATTTGACAATAAATTTCAGATTTAAAAAAATAATAAAAAAACAAAAAAAAATTTTATAAAGAATATGAAAAAACTGGTTCAAAAAGATATATGCAGCCCTATGTTTATTGCATCATTATTTACAATAGTCAAATTATGGAAACAACCTAAGTGTCCATCAATAGATGAATGGATAAAGAAGATATGGTAATATGTATGTAGATAGGTAGATAGATAGATAGATAGATAGATAGATAGATATAGATATTAGTCATGAAAAAGAATGAAATCTTGCCATTTGCAACAACATGGATGGAGCTAGAGAGTATAACGCTAAGTAAAATAAGTCAGAGAAAGAAAAATACCATAATGAGTTCATTCGTATGTGGAATCTTAGAAACAAATGAGCAATTAAAACAGACAAACCAAAAAACATAATCTTAACTACAGAGTACAAACTGATGGTTACCAGAAGGCAGGTCGATAGGGGGATGGATGAAATAGTTAAAGGGGATTAAAGAGTACACTTATCATGATGAGCGTTGAGTAATGTTAGAATTGTTGAACCATTATATTGTACACCTGAAACTAATATAACACTGTGTCTTAACTATACTGAAATTAAAAAATAAATAATTTTTTCTTCAAAATAAAAAAAAAAGACTACATCTCCCAGCTTTCCTTGCAGCAAAGTGTGCCAAAGAACCAAGCTCTGGCAAAAGGGATCTAAATCAAAGTATTATTTGTCAGTTTACACATATCCTTAAGAGACAGTCATTTTATGCCTTTGGGCTTTCCTTCTCCCCTTACCTTCTTTCTGTTTCCTGGTATGTGTATGTGGTGGTTGGAGTTGGAGCTTCCATCTTGGATTATGAGGTATCTGCGGGTATGGAGACCACTTTGGTAAAAGAACAGATGGAAGTAGCCTGGGTCTTTGATTGATGCTATGCAAATTTATCTCTAGATTTGTACAGGAAAAGAAATAAGCTTGCTTAAGCCACTGTGAACTTTGTGGGTTTTGTCATGCATGGAAGGATTAAGTAACTAAGTGAGTCTAAGTAACACCAAATCAATTAAGAAACAGATGCAAGGGTTGGACTGTGGCCAGGATATCAATGTTCAAATTAAAGCTGGATTAGAAAATGTAGCTTGGACCTGCAAGCGAAGATGTGGGGTCCTACTATTAGCACCCTCTAAGTCTAGGTCTTGAGTTAAGATGTTAGAAGTGCAGACTATAGAGGGGTGCCTGAGTGACTTGATCGATTAAGTGACCAACTTTGGCTCAGGTCATGACCTCGCCATCCATGGGTTTGAGCCCCAAGTCGGCTCTGTGCTCACAGCTCAGAGCCTGGAGCCTGCTTTGGATTCTGTCTTCCTCTCTCTATGTCCCTCACCACTCATTCTCTCTCTTTCTCAAAGATAAATCACTATTTAAAAAAAAAAGTGCAGACTATAGAATAGACATCTAGCCGGCTACAGGTTTTTAAAATCTTACTGTGCATATGAATCACCTGGTGATCCTGTTGGAACACACATTCTGATTCAGTAGGTGTGGGGTAGGACCGGAGATTCTGCTTTCTGATAAGCTGCCAAGGGCTAACACTGCCACTCCAAGGACCACACTTTGGGTAGTACCATTTCACACACACACACAGCCACCACCACTACCAAGTAAATCAGAGTCCAGAGATAAGGCCCTCAGCCTGTCCTGAGCTCTGACCCAGGTGTACGTATGGTCTGGAATCTCAGGGAAGGAGTTAGTAAGAGGTAGAGAGAAGGCAACCCTAACACATTCCTTCTCAAAACTGACTGCACGTTGAATCCTGGGGAGCTTCAAAACATGCTAATGTCTATGTCCCACTGAGATCCTGACTCTGGATGTGACCTGGGAATTGGAAGGTTTAAAAGCTTCCCCAATGATCCTAATAGTCCCAATGCTGGGACCCACAGCCCAGAGGGCCAACATTCTGGCAGAAGTTCTTGTTTATGGGTTGAGTCAAGAACTCTGAGAAAAGAAGGGTCCCTCCTACGCTCCAAGCTGGGACTGGGGTAAAGTGAGTGAGGCATCTCCCTTGGGCATTAAGGCAAACGTTGGAGGTGGGGAGTGGAAACACCCAAAAACTCTGTAATGAAGATAAATATCTTAATGCAATATTTAAAGATTTTTTAAATATTTATTTTTGAGAGAGAGGGAGAGAGACAGAGTGTGAGCTGGAGAGGTGCAGAGAGAGAGGGAGACAGAATCTAAAGCAGGCTCTAGGCTCTGAGCTGTCAGCACAGAGTCCGATGTGGGGCTAGAACCCACTAACTGGGAGATCATGACCTGAGCTGAAGTCTGACCCTCAACCAACTGAGCCACCCAGGCGCCCCTAATGCAATATTTTAAATAATCAACATTAACACAAGGAAATCCACACTGAATCAAGTATCAAAACTTTAAGGCAAATAAAGATAGAATCTTTAACAGCACTGTGCAGAGCCATATTGGAGCTTGAGGCAAAAGGCAAACAGAAATCCTGATCTCTAGGCTATACTAACCAACTCCCAACCCCTGGGGCTAAACAATCTAGCTAAGGATCACTCAGAAGGGGTCTGCTCTCCCAGTTTGTGAGCCACTGCCCCCTCCCAACTCCCCTGATCTTGGTTAAAGTTGTGGGCAGGTCAACCTTTTGTCCTCACATGGTTCTGAAATGGGTCATAGTGGTTCTTTAAATAAATTAACCAAGACCAAAGAATAACAGACATTTACTGAGTTCTAAGTGCTTTACAAATACTTACTTATTTAATCTCCAAAGAGATCTTATGACATAAGAGCTATTGTTACCCTACTTACAGTAGAGGAAACTGAGGCACAGAGGTTCAATTAATTTGTCCCAAATTATACAGCAGGTAAAGAAGTTAAATTGGGAATCAAACACAGGCAGTTTGGCTCCAAAGTCTATGCCCATGAGTACTTCCTTAAATACCGTGACCCAGGTAAAAAATGCGCCCCTTACTCTCACTTGTGTCCCACGGTATGCCCAGTCATGGTTCCAATATAGCTCAACGCGGCCATATCATGAATTCACACAGTAACATTAAAAATCGCCCCCAAGCCCCTGCAAAACAACCAAACCAAAAGTAACCATCAGCAACAGAATGACAACACTTGAATCACGAGAACTTTCGGCTCTTTATTAAATTTCGGGAAAGAAATGAAGGTCACCAAATTAAGTTGGAATTTCCAGGGTACAGAAAACCGTTTCCTCTGCTGGCTGTCGCTGCCTTGGTGTGGGCAGGAGGTCACCAGGGGGCCGCCAAGGCTCCATATGCAGGACAAGGTGGGGGTGGGACATGACAGGGAGCCTCAGAGGAGCGGGAAGGGGGTCATCGGATCGTGTACTTGTCCCACTTCTTTTCAGGGTCGTAGGGTTCCCAGCGGCTCGCGGGGAAGATGTGCTTGTTCTTCTCGTACCAGCTCCGCAGCACCACCTTGCCCGCGTGTGACTCATCCTTTTCCATGGTGGCGTCGCTCAGCAGCCGCACGTCATCGTGCACGTCGAAGTTGAAGAGCGGCCCACTCTTGCCCCGGGCCTTGGTGACGATGAAGTCGTAGAAGGTGTGGTAGTGGGGCAGGATCAGGTCCTCCTTGATGTACATGAGCTGCTCCACGCCCGCCGACCGCAGCTCACGGAAGTCCTTTCGCAGCCCCTGCAGGGCCCTCTTCAGGAACTGCTGCACGGTGCCACCCTTGTGGATGCGCACGGTGCGCCGGTGCCCGGAGCCGTCCCAGTAGCTGAACGTGACCTCCATCTCCTCGCGCTTCACCTTCTCGCGCCTGGCCTCCCACTCCTGCCGCAGCTGCTCCCGCAGCCGGTTCTCCTCCTCTTCGCGGTCGCGGTCAGGCAGGAAGCTCGTGTCCACATCTGGATTCTTCCCCAGGTTCGTCTTCTTGCTCAGCCCCGCCGGCGTGGGCTGCTCCCTAGCCGCCACCTCCTCATCCACGTTGCCCTCGTCGCCCTCGTCGAGCGTGAAGGACAGGCTGCAGATCTTGCGCTTCTGCTCCTGCTTACGCTCCTTCTCCCGCAGTGCCTCCAGCTGCAGCCGCCGCGCCTCCAGCTGCTCCCTCTTGGCCAGCTGCATCTCCCGCTCCTTGAGCAGGGCCTCCTGCTTGGCCTTCATGTCGTTCAAGGTCACCAGGCCCACCGTGCTCGACTTCAGCTCGGCCTCCACGGCGTCGTAATGAGCCGAGAATTTCTTGTCCACCTTCGACTTGATGAGGGTCTCCTCGGCGATCCGCTGCTTCAGCACCTCCATCTGCTCCTTCTGCTTTTCCCGCTTCTTGATCAGGTGCATGGCCCGGCCGGCCTCCCGCATCGTGCCCTTGTACTGCGCCATGCTGGCAGCTCGGCACGCCCACTCCCGCTTCCAGTTCCTGTCTGATGCCGGGGAGTTTCCGGGCTAGCTCATGGATTCGGCTGCAATGAAAAACACTTGAGTTAGAAAGGGGCCAATAACAATGGTTTGATTAATGTTTCAGAGCGGTGCATTCTACTAGAATTTTCTGGAATGACGGAAGTGTTCTGTAGCTGTGCTGACCGATGTGTAGCCATGTGAGGCTATTGTGCCCTTGAGAGGTGGCTAGTCCCATCGAGACAATGACTTTTATTTTAATTAATTTAAATTTAAATAGCCATATGTGACTAATAGCTCCCATGTTGGACATTGCAAAGCTGGGTTTTGAGAGCTGTACGTGGAGAGGGTTGGTTTACAGAGCAAATTTTCACCCGTCCAGGTACCCTTATCTGTCTGGGTACCCCCATCAAGCAAGAGTTGGGGAACCAAGAAAGCAGGCCTGCAATGGGCCTGGGACTGGATTTGGGTGTAGTGACCACAGGAAAGCAGAGTCTGAGAGGAAAATGTCCAGGTTGGCCCTGGAGGAGAAGGCACCTGTCCTCGCAATCAGATACACCACTCTTCTTGAGGAGGTAAGTGAGTGAGGGGAGAAGGGTCAGACAAAAGCATCTTTTAGTACTTTCCTAGAGGGTGGTAATGTTAGCTAAGATCCTATTAATATGTTAGAAGTGAGGCAGGACCGTATTAGTTGTTGTCCCTTGAGAATAATTTCTGCAGTGAGTATTTGTTGAGTCCACCTTATGCCCAGTACGAAAGTGTGCAGAAGCAGTGTAGGTATGGCCCTGCTTGCTGTGGAAAACAAGGCATCTAGGGATGCTTCTTGGTGTTTCAGCCAAAGTGGAATGAAGCCTCCCCCTAATTTTATTGGACTCAACTTGAATCAACCATCTTCCCTCAAGACCAGTCCATCCTGCCTCATGCACTACAGCTCCGTCATCCTCTGGAGCCTCACCCCCACAAACTTAAGACAAGGTCTCATCCAACCATCCCCACCCTCCCAAACTCTTCCACTCTGCCCTCTGGAAAGACGCTCCTCATCAACAAACTCTCCTAAATCCTCAGCCACCTCTGGGACCTTCCCTTTACCTTCTTGTCTCATGCTGGAAGCCTGCTGTTCCCTGAGGAGACCATTTCTCCTAAAGTAGAGGACATCCACATCACATCCACATCCATGTCCTCTGACATCCACATCATCTCAAACTCTAAAAGTGGGATGTCTTTGCAGTTTCAAAAACATTTCTTCTACATTTTTAGAACTCCTAGCTTCCTTGAAGCTCATGCAACCCAGTGATACTACCCCAGCTGTTGCTGTCATCTCTGGAATTCCCTTTCCTCCAGAATCCTTGAGGTTTAGCACCTGGCTCAACTGCCGTCCTCCTCCATCCTCCATTCATCATAATCCTGGATGTCATCCACAGAACCTACCAGACACCTAGACCTTCTCACTTCTGATGGCCTCTTCCTTTGCCATGCCCTAGCTCTTATCACTATGAGCAAGTGCCCCATTTCCCAAATCTGAACTCTAGAACCTCCTTTCCTTTCAGTTTGCTTACTCTTGGAATAAATAACCTAACTCCAACTGTCCTCTGATAGTTCGAGACCTCTGATCCAAAGCACTTCTCCATCATACTCCCCTCTGCTTGCTCCTTCCTTACCCACCAGACATTGCATGGATTCTCATCTCTCATGCTTCTTTCCTTCCTGTTATTCTTGCCTGGAAAAGCTCTAATCCTGGTTAAACGTAGCCCCTGTCTTCATAACTCCTAAACGGCAGGGCTGAGGAAAACAGCACTGCTATTGTTGGCTAGCCTCACTTGAAGTTCATGACCTCAACCCTCCAATGGGGATTCAAAACTGCCTGGTAATTCTATCATGCTGCCTCAGGGAGTCTGCTGTCTTGCTCTCCAAAACAACTATTTTGTGCTTCTTTCTGTATCTCTCACACCTCCACTCTCTCCTACCTCCCCCACCTCCCCTAGTTTGGCCAGTAAACATTTAGCAGCACACCACTGGATACAGTTCTGTCTTCTGATTCAAACACAGTTATTTGTGGATAATCGAATCCTACCCAAATTTCATAACACAAACACTGCATTTGGTCTACTTAAATCCCCCCAAATATGTGTGCTATGAAAAAGGAGTTCTAAACTCAAATAAATATGGGAAAGTCAGAGTCAAAGAAAGTTTAAGAGTCTCTTTACTGTGAGTCTCTGATATGTTTCCACTGTGACTTTCCAAGGGGGCGTGTAATATTTCATGTTTCCCAAAAGTTTTTTGGATTATTCAACATTTCTTCCTCTACAGAGTATCTGTTTACTTTTCTCAAAACCAGTGCCTCAAGGAACCACGTTTAGAAAAACTGGCTGTGAAATATATGCCAGACTTTCATCGCGTCCTTCTAAAAGCAGTGATGCCTGTGAGCACAACCTCAAGAAGAAACCTTTTCTTATATGATAGTAAAATATGGCACCTATGTGCCAAGGAGAAAATATTGTGGTGTTACCACTCACCAAATTGGGCAAACAAGAATTCTAAGCATTTTCCTGGACTACTGTCCTTCACACATAACCAATTAAAAGAAAATATTTCATATGTTTTCTTTTCTCTCCTTTCCTACCACTGGCCTTAAGATAACAATTGTGCTTTTTTTTCCACCTGAAGCCTCCTCGTCAGTGCCCTATCATCAGTATATTCTCATTCTTTTCTTTTCTTTTCTTTTCTTTTCTTTTCTTTTCTTTTCTTTTCTTTTCTTTTTCTTTGACTTTTTCGATGTTTATTTATTTTTGAGAGAGAGACAGAGAGACAGAGGATGAACGGGGGAGGGACAGAGAGAGAGAGAAACACAGAATCTGAAGCAGGCTACATGCTCTGAGCTGTCAGCCCAGAGACCAACGCTGGGCTGGAACCCATGAACCGTGAGATCATGACCTGAGCCAAAGTCGGAGGCTTACCTGACTGAGCCACCCAGGTGCCCCAGTGTATTCTCATTCTTGTCTATCTTCTATAAATAATCCAGTGGTCCTCATAAAAAATACATCTGATAATGTCACTCCCTTTCTTGAAAATCTCCTACAACACTCTATTTTGAGATAAAACTGGAATGTTAAATTTTTTCCTACCAGGTCCCTAATCACCAAACCCATCCACCCATTTCCCAACACTCCACATCATACAGTGGCCATCTGGAACATTTTAGTGTTCTTAAGTACAAGATGCCCTTTCATAACTGTTTCCTTTGGACATACCCTTCCTAGAAGCCTGCTGTCCACTGTGCCAGCCTTCAAGATCATCTTCAGGGTCATCCCCTATAGAAAACCTCTAGCAGCCTCCAGTGACCCCACCCCTGCCACCCCCAGATATACAAAGTTACTGATACCCTCTTCTCTCCAGGATCCCTGTGTGATTACCTTTATTAGATATAACATAAATCAGATTGCTTGGCCACCTCCTTTTTCAATTAGATAATCCAACCAGCCACACTTTAATCCAATCAAATATAATATGACCACATCAACTATAATTGCCCTTTTCCAATCTAATCAGAATCTAAATGTCAATATAGTCCCCAAACCTCATCTTTCCTCTTCCTGTTATCTAGCATCCATTGTCTTAACTCAATCACAGTCTTCAAATACCATAGCCAATCAGCCTCCAGAATTAAGACAGTTAGTCTTAAATTCTTCGAAAAGGTTGACAAGAAAAACAGAAGGAAGCAGTTTTATCCTTAGAGTCTGAAGTCCTGATTTTAAGAACTCCCCCCACCCCACGGGTCCCAAGATGATAGTTGCTTGTGATCTCAATCCTCAATGAAAAGTACCCCAGCAAGCTAAAGTCTACTGTTTTCAACTCTTCCACTGTATCAACAATGACAATAACACAAATAGATGGAAGGGAGCAACAGTCTGCTCCAAGGAATCTGAAATGCTGATTAAATATGCAAATTTTAATTTAAAGAAAATGTCACCTCCTTCCCACTTAGCAACAAGGTAAAGCAAATATGCAAACCAATGGCGGCAATTTTTAAAAATCCCACAAAACTCAAAAGCTACTGCTTTAATTGTTTTAACAGAAAAAAAAGATAATCAGTTTCCATCACAAACAAAAAGAACAAATCAACAAAGGAATACCTTTTGTCATGATTGGTTTTCAGTTTACCTCTCATCAGTCTTAATTCTGATTTAAAATGATCATCCAACAAGTGGCGTGTATAAGCTCATCTCCAGAGTCAGCCTTACCATGAAACTGGTTGGTGGACCAGCGTCTGTAAAGGGCAACACTTCCCAATCAGCCCAAATTGGGTCTAGGAAGTACTTCCTGACAGCATCATCACTCAAGGATCCCTCCAGCATCCATCAGTGTATACTGAATTTGTTGTCCAACCAAAGCCACAGCACCTATCATTCAACCAGATGCCAAAAAAA